CCCCCCCCCCCTATGGACGAGAATTTCTGAAGGGGTTTGAAAAAGCCATTTCTGAGGGGTTGTGTGCATCGGCATCCTTTGATCTTTGCGGTTTTTTTCTGAGGAGTAAGGCAAAAATTTATTAATTTCTGGGGGGTATTTGTGTCGGCACTTTGATCTTTTTTTCTTTGGGGTTCAAATTTTATTGACCTCGTTCATAGGGGGGTGTGTACATTAAATGGAATGGCCCGACTGGATATACACTCAGAGTAACATCACAAGCATAATATTTACCAAATGTTCCAAATAAACGCACGCTAAAATAATTTATTATAATGTACTTACAGCTTCTGCTCTCTTTCGCTTCATTATGTTTCACTATACAGTCTATACTTTGACTTTTCGCCTTTTCAATTCAAAATTTGGGAACTATTCCACTCAAACGTCGTTCAACCAGTCGCCATATTTGAAACTATTTAAAGCCCCCTCCCGCCAAACTCGTAATATTCCCGCGTGATCAGTTGCAATCTGGTTGCAATTAGCGATGATCTCCCTACAAAACTGGAGTACTACCCAAAAACAAGCGAAGTATTTTGGCATGTGCTAAAACCTGGACGATAGCTCCATCGTCCAGGTTTTATTGGACGATGGACGTCCATCGTCCGGACAGGTTTTATTGGACGATGGACGATGGGCGTCCATCGTCCAGGTTTTAGCACATGAAATACTATCAAAATGAAGAGAAAAGTGAGATGAATATACTGGTATACGAGTATACGACCGAAAAGAGAAAACCAACGATACCAAAGTTATATCAAACGTACTGCATTTTTAATTATAGTTTAATAATTTTGAGCGATTTGTCGACAAACAATTTCGCTTGACTTTCAAAGGCCATAAATCGCTAGAATACTGTTGTTTAGTAATACATTTGACATCCGTAAGTACAATTTGCTATACGCTGAATCGAACGGTGATATTTTATTTTGAGCGGCTTGTCTTTCAAAACCCATGAATCGCTGGAATTGAAAATTATGAATTTTGAAATCAATTTCCCATCTATAAATACAACGTCAACGTTTTAAGGTCAGTTTCCACTCAGGAAAATTATCCGTGGATTGGAACAGACAAGAAAATTTTTCTTTGTGTTAAAGTCATTAGTTCCAAATCAGAGCTCACAAGACAAAGAAAAATTTTCTTGTCCGTTCCATCCACGGATAATTTTCCTGAATCGAAATTAGCCTTTACGCTACTTCGAACAGTGGTATTTTTGTCCATGTTTGGCGCATAAAACCAGAGATAAAGGCATAAAGCCCAGCAAACAGTCGGTCCTGAGAGTCCAAGATTAATTAATTTTCCCGCAAAAATGTATACTGTTTCGAGCACGTGCAAGGAATTTTTACTAGGCGATTAAGGAAACGTATTGATGCGAACACACTAACAAACGGACAAACTAACATGCAGAATATAATGCGGTGCCAAACTTGGGCACCGCAATTTCAGTAAGTAAGTAAGTAAGTAAGTAAGTAAGTAAGTAAGTAAGTAAGTAAGTAAGTAAGTAAGTAAGTAAGTAAGTAAGTAAGTAAGTAAGTAAGTAAGTTTCCTCCAATTTCTGGAGAGTATTTTTACAGAATAAAAAAAGAATTAATTACAAAATTAATTTAAATTACTTAATTAGTTAATTAGAATAATTTCAGTTTCTAGTTATATTGAAATAACGGTTCTATTAAAGCAATATGAAATATAGTTTGCCGATTTTAGCAAAAATGCTTTTCTCCGTTCGTTGTCTAAGCCCAATGTCTCTTTATTTTGTCCTAATATAGTCAATATAAAATCTGAGTCAGATAAGGCTACTAAATTTACTGTTGGTTCAATTTCACAATTATCCACTATCCAATTCCACAGGTTTTCCCTCTCATTGTGTGAGGCTAAACAGTACAACAAGGCGTGATTTACAGGGTTAACATAACTTTTTTGACATATTTCGCAAAAGTCTGTGTATACAACTGGGTTACAAACACGTTTCCCCCTGACCTTATATGATCCACATAGCAGTCTTATGACATTTGTTATTTCAAGAAGGTTCTTGGGATACTCTCTTGCAAGAAGCCACCATTCAGAAATTTCGTTGT